GTGTATGCCTTAGTGCAGTCAGAAGAGAGTAGAAGAAGTGTGATGAATTGTGTAGAGGGGGAGTCAGTTGCCCTAGCTGTYYGRGGAAATTYAGATACAAATGTCGGAGGTGCTTTTAAGAAAGGTGACTCTCAGAAGAGAACAGATGATAAGAGTAAACTTTGGTAAACTCACTGCCAAAAGACAAGACACACTAGAGATACATGTTGGGATCTCCATGGAAAACCTAAATGGGCTCAGGATTTGGGTAAGAAGTCAACACCTAATCAGGGCAAGAAACCAAGTCAGCAAAATCAAAAAAAAGTATAACTCAGCTAATATGGCGTCTCTAGAGACTAGTCCATTGGTAACTCAGGAGAGGCATCCCAGTTCTGACCCTAAGGAAGAAATTATCAACTCCTTTCGTGACCATTTAAAATTGTATGGTAGGACTCTCCGCCAGATGAATTTTGGTCCTACTCCCTCTACCTCTTTCGTGTCTACATCAGGTAACGCTACCACTGCCTTCCATGTGTCATCTCATACCACTGATTCTCCTTGGGTTATTGACTCCAGAGCCACAAACCACATGACCGGTAAGTCAAATTTATTTCAGACATAACCTTCTCTCTAGGAGAGATAAAGTGAGACTAGTTTATGGTTCTTTCTCTACCATAGCTGGCCAAGGTACCATACCTCTCCCACTCGTCCTTACCCTTTCTAATGTACAGCATGTTCCGAAATTACCTATAAATTTGCTGTCCATCAGTAGTATAACTCACTCCTTGAACTGTTCAGTCACTTTTTTTCCGTCTTCATGTGTGTTTCAAGATTTGGCCTCGGGGAAGACGATTGGTAGAGGAAGCATGGTGGATGGTCTCTATGTGTTGGAGAATAAAGCTGGTTTTGTGGCTACAAAGTCCATGAGTTTGTCCAGTGAGAGTCAAGCCTATTTATGGCATAGTCGTCTTGGTCATCTTTCTTTTGTCATTAAAAGTTATGTTCCCAAAGTTGTTTGAGTCCTTGTCAGTGAGTCAGTTACAGTGTCAGACATGTCAATTGAGTAAACATTGTAGAAGTTCTTTACCTTTGAGAAATAAAATATCTGAATTTCCATTTCATATTGTTTATTCT